AGATGGAGTTTCGCTCTTGTTGCCCAGGCTGGAATGCAATGGCACGATCTCAGCTGACCGCAACCTCCGCCTCCCGGGTTCAAGCGATTCTCCTGCCTCAGCCTCCCAAAGTAGTTGGGATTACAGGCATGCACCACCACACCCAGCTGATTTTGTATGTTTAGTAGAGACGGGGTTTCTCCGTGTTGGTCAGGCTGGTTTCGAACTCCCGACCTCTGGTGATCCGCCCGCCTCGGTCTCCCAAAGTGCTGCGATTACAGGCGTGAGCGTGAGCCACCGCGCCCGGCCTTCTTTTCTTTTCTTTTCTTTCTTTTCTTTTTTTTTTTTTTTTGGTTAGGGTTTTTTTTTTTTTTTGGTATAGGACTGTACACCTCTTTCTTAAACCATCCTGACAAAGGGACAGAGGGAAAAATACATTTCCCGTGAGGCGTTGGGGCTAGAACAGCTGGAGGTGGACGGCAGAGTGCCGCGACGACTGACAGGAGTTGTAGTTCTCCCCGGCCGCGTCACTGCGGCGTCGCCCACCCGCCTTCCCCGGTCAGGCCGCGGTTTCCTTTGTGGACGTGGCGAGGGGCGCCTGCGGCCTTCCAGGCACTCGTTGGCCCCGCCCCGTGAGTCGCTCGTGCGAACTCATTGGGCGGGGGGCGGGGCTCTGCGCAGCCAGAGGCGGGGCCTGACTGGAGAGCGGCCGAATTGGGCACTTTTGCGGGAACGCAGAGCCGAGCGTGGAGAGCGGAACGAAGCTGCATGACTGGGTAAAGGGAGTGGGTGGGGGGCCTCAGTCCAGGCAGGGCGGCTCGGGGCGGCTTGGGGCGGCTTGGGTCGAGGATCAGGGTCTGGACTGGGAGCAATGACGGGGAGCCTCCCTGACCTGTGGCTGGCCACAACTATGCCCTGTACTTTGCGTGGGATGTGCGCCACGTCTCTCCCTGAAATTCCCCCTCGCAGGTCTGGGACCCCCTGAGACTCCGTCAGAAGAGTCCGTCCCTCTAAGGTGGCTTTACCCATAGGTGGCTTTACCTCTAAGCATCACGCCCTGTTTTCCCCCATCGCCCGCCCTTTTTGAGCCCCAAAGTTTGTAGCCAACTTCCATCTCCCTGTCCTGTCCTAGGTAACCCCTCCACCCCGCCATTCTCCTGTCCCGTGTCCTCATACCTGTAACCCCTGACCCCTGGCCTTTGCCACTCCCCAGGGACCGATGATGTGGCGAGCATCGCTTCTGCTGCTTCTATTGCTCCTGAGGCACGGGGCCCAGGGGAAACCGTCCCCAGACGCAGGCCCTCATGGCCAGGGGAGGGTGCACCAGGCGGCCCCCCTGAGCGACGCCCCCCATGATGACTCCCACGGGAACTTCCAGTACGACCATGAGGCTTTCCTGGGACGGGAAGTGGCCAAGGAATTCGACCAACTCACCCCAGAGGAAAGCCAGGCCCGTCTGGGGTAGGAGAGACACGCGGTTGGGGCGTGTTCGGAGGTGGGGTTTGGGAGAGAGTTGCGGGGGTATTGACAGGGGTCAGAGAAATGGCGTGGACTGAACTTCAGTTCTTTGTGAGAAATGAAATTCTACCTTCTCTCCTTGGGAAAAGCAAATTAAGTTAAAATTGAGGCATGAAGAGGACCTTTGGCCCTTTTATTTATTTATTTATTTATTTTGCGACAAAGTCTTACTTTGTTGCCCAGGATGGAGTGCAGTGGCACAATCTCAGCTCACTGCAACCTACACCTCCTGGGTTCAAGCGATTCTCCTGCCTCAACCTCCCAAGTAGTGGAGATTACAGGCACCTACCACTGCGCACAGTTAATTTTTGTATTTTTAGTAGAGACTGGGTTTCACCATGTTGGCTAGGCTGGTCTTGAACTCCTGACCTCAGGTGATCTGCCCACCTCGGCCTCCCAAAGTGCTGGAATTACAGGCGTGAGCCACCGCGCCCGGCCTATTATGTTATTATTATTATCATTATTTGAGACGGAGTCTCGCTCTGTTGCCCAGGCTGGAGTGCAGTGGTACTATCTCGGCTCACTGCAACCTCCACCTCTTGGATTCAAGCAGTTCTCCCGTGTCAGCCTTCGAGTAGCTGGGATTTCAGGTTCGGGCCACCACGCCCGGCTAATTTTTGTGTTTTTAATAGAGATGAGGTTTCACTATGTGGGCCAGGCTGGTCTGGAAGGCCTGATCTCAAGTGATCCGCCCGTCTTGGCTTCCCAAGCCTGGGATTACAGGTGTGAGTCACCACGCCTGTCCTGTCCTAAGTGCTTTCCATGGCCAAACTCATTTATTCCCCACAACTGCCCTTTTGGGGTAGGTACCATTTTTTCTCTCTATTTTACAGAGGGGTAACCGAGGCACAAGAGAGGTTAAGTCACTTGCCCACAGTCACACAGCCAGTAAGAGGAAGTGGCTGGATTTGGACCTAAAATATCTGGCTGTGGAGCCCAAGCTCTTAACAACAGCAGTAACTTCAGAGAAGGGTGTGAATCTGGGGACAGAGTCGGCCCTTGACAGACCGGAGCAGAGACCACCTGGTGCGGGAGGTGGGGCGGTGACTCAGGCAGGCCTGGAGAGGGCTCAGCTGTCTCAGATTTTCTTTCTTTTTTTTTTTTTTTTTTTCTGTCTCAGATTTTCGACCTTAGGGAGGGGGCCGCGGGGGCCTAGGGACGGTGACAGGGAGGAGGGCTCCATGTAGTCTCTGTTAATTAGAGATTGGGCGAGGACCGGCCTGACATGGAGAGGAGAAGAGCCGGGGAGCTGACAAGCGTGGCCCGAGAGAAGGGGCGAGATGGAACCTAAGTGGCTTGACATGTGACGGGGAGGGGCACAGGAGCCCCGAGGAGCATGGGGAGGGGTATAGAGAGACCGAGCCCCTGGGGTTGCGGGTGATGGTCCTCGGGCAGTGCCTGATTCAGCCGGGAGCAGGCAGGAGAAAGCCACCAGGCGCAGCGCAGGGCAGGGCTGGAGGGATAGGAGCCTGAAATTGACACGCGCAGCCTGGTAAGGGGGCGGGGTATGGGGCGGGTCGGGGCCTGAGACAGCCGGGGCTCGGGGGTGTGGCCGTGGCTGTCTGGGTTCAAAGTCAGTCTTGGAACAGGGTCCCCCTGGCAAGGGGTGCAGTGCGACGCCGCGCTCCCCATCACCACCCCAGCTCAGCCCAGCTAGAGGTGCAGCACGTGCAGGCCGAGGGCGGGGCCGGCGCGGAGAGGGTGGCCCTGCATCGTCGTAGGTCTCTCCCACGCAGTGCTCCCAGCAGGCCCGCTCGTTTTCAGGAAGGGCGTGACTTGTCCCGGGGGTGGACCCTAGGCTGAGGGTCCTCCGCTGGGTTTGGTCCCGAAATTGACACGCGTCCCTCCCCAGTTCACCCGCGGATCCCATGTGTCCCAGGGGGCGTGGCCCCGTGCGAGGGGCGGGGCCTGGGGCGGGACCAGAGACTGACTTGTGCCCGCCCCGGCTCGCAGGCGGATCGTGGACCGCATGGACCGCGCGGGGGACGGCGACGGCTGGGTATCGCTGGCCGAGCTTCGCGCGTGGATCGCGCACACGCAGCAGCGGCACATACGGGACTCGGTGAGCGCAGCCTGGGACACGTACGACACGGACCGCGACGGGCGTGTGGGTTGGGAGGAGCTGCGCAACGCCACCTATGGCCACTACGCGCCCGGTACGCGGCGAACCCCCGACCCTGCTCCCCATACAACGTTACCCCGACCTTCTGGACCGCCTCATTCTGAGAACCTGAACCCGTTTACCCGGAGTCCCTGGCCCCTAACCAGGCTCTACCCACTTTTAGGAGCCCATCACTGAGATCTTCACTTTCTCACCTCTGGCTTCTCTTTTTTGTTTTTCGTTTGCTTATTTTTCTGGTATTTAGCTGCATACTAAAAACGATCTTTTTTTCAAACATGAAGTCAGAATTAGGTGCTAAAAGCCACTGAACACGCCCAAAGAGGGACTTGAACCCTGGGCCCTCAGATTAAAAGTCCAATGCTCTACCAACTGAGCTACCCAGGCTCCCTTCAGGGAGTTTATTCTGGGACCCGCCACCTCTATGACAATGTGACAGTATGACTAGGGAACTTCAGATCCACGGCCAAGGACACCTACTTTCCATGCTTTGTCATCCTGACCCCTAACCTCCGTGACATCATCCTGAGAACCCCAAAGCCAGTTACTCTGCCCCCGACTCTCAGATCCCTCCTTTCTGTCCCAAGCCCCAGCCCCAGTGGCCTACCCCTCCACACACACACACACACACACACACACACACACACACAGCCCTCATTCCCTCCCTCCTCTCCTCTCTGTCCCTGGCCCCAGCCTCCCCCTCCAGCCTGTCTTCCACAGGGCTCCAGGGGAGTCTTCACACCCAGCACTGACTCTGCCCCTCCCTCCCCTTCCTGGGCCCCCAGGAGACAGTCCCACTCCTCAGCCCGGACATCTCCACCTGTAGGTTTGTTTTTCTGCATTTTCTGCCCCAAATGGATCTTCTGTGGTTTTCCTGAACTCACCACACTCCTCAAACCTCTACCCTCTGCCCATATTGTTCCCTCCAATTACAATGCCCTTCCCTTCCTCTCAGTCAAGCCATCTCAGTCCCTGTAAGCTACCCCATCACAGCCTCAGTCTGGGGCCAAAAGGGCTACTATCAACTTAAAGTCCATCTTTCCTGTCTCCACACCCTTGGATCAGTTATTTCTTCTCTCCGGGAATCAGTTTTTGCATTCAGAAAGTAGAACACATGGAAAAACCCACTGTACCTGCTTTTTGTGATGATTACATGCAGTATTTTACATAAAGAGCTTAGCATATAATCTCTCACGAGTTAGCTAATTTATTGTGTGGATATAATATGTTATATAGCTTGGGTGCAATGGCTCATGCCTGTAATCCCAACACTTTGGGAGGCTGAGGCGGGTGGATCACTTGAGATCAGGAGTTAGAGACCAGCCTGGCCAACATGGCAAAACTCCGTCTCTACTAAAAAAAAAAATTACTTAGCTGGCTGTGATGGCAGGCACCTGTAACCACAGCTACTCTGGAGGGTGAGACATGAGAATCGCTTGAACCCAGGAGACGGAAGTTGCAGTGAGCCGAGATCACAACACTGCACTCCAGCCTGGGTGACACAGGGAGACTGTGTCCAAAAAAAAAAAAAAAAAAAAAAATTGACCAGGTGTGGTGGCTCACGCCTGTAATCCCAGCACTTTGGGAGGCCAAGGTGGGCGGATCACGAGGTCAGGAGATCAAGACCATCCTGGCTAACATGGTGAAACCCCATCTCTACTAAAAATACAAAAAATTAGCCAGGCGCGGTGGCGGGTGCCTGTAGTCCCAGCTACTCAGGGGGCTGAAAAAGGAGAATGGCATGAACCCGGGAGGCAGAGCTTGCAGTGAGCCGAGACTGGGCCACTGGACTCCAGCCTGGGTGACAGAGCGAGACTCCATCTCAAAAAAAAAAAAATTAAAAATTAATAAATATATATACACACTAATAATATATTATATAATGTATTATATATTATATACTTATATAATAAATATACATACAAATTATATATAAAGTATCAATATATACTTTTTTTTTTTTGAGGGAGTTTCACTCTTGTTGCCCAGGCTGGAGTGCAGTGGCGCAGTCTCGGCTCACTGCAACCTCCGCCTCCCAGGTTCAAGCGATTCTCCTGCCTCAGCCTCTCAAGTAGCTGGGATTACAGGCTAATTTTGTGTTTTTAGTAGAGATGGGGTTTCATCATGTTGGCCAGGCTGGTCTCGAACTCCTGACCTCAAGTGATCCGCCAGCCTCAGCCTCCCAAAGTGCTGGGATTACAGGCGTGAGACACCGCGTCCAGCCTATTGATATATACTTATTATTAACTCCACAGAAATATTTGTAGTCCAGTAGGATTTACTTTGTTTTAACCTGCTTGGCGTTTCCTCCATTAAAGCTCATCTCACTGAGACCTTTCCTTCCCCAGGTGAAGAATTCCATGACGTGGAAGACGCAGAGACCTACAAAAAGATGCTGGCTCGGGACGAGCGGCGTTTCCGGGTGGCCGACCAGGATGGGGACTCGATGGCCACTCGGGAGGAGCTGACGGCCTTCCTGCACCCCGAGGAGTTCCCTCACATGAGGGACATCGTGATTGCTGTGAGTGGCGGCTGGGGAACCCCACCCCCCCACACCCTTCTGGGAACCCAGTCTTCTGGTTCCGGTCCTGCTTCCCAGCACGGATCTTGGGGCAGGCAGTCACCTGGCTCTCCAGCATCTTGCCAGGGAACCCAGGCCACAAGCACAGGTCAAGGGAGGGTGACCTTTCCCACCTCCACTCGCAGACCCCTGGGGTCTGATCTCTCCTCGTCTGGCCTCCCCCTCCCTGTGCTCGCATTTGGGGTCCAGGCCCCCAGCCTTCCCTCAGACAGTCACTGTGCCCCACCCTATACAACTTCTTTTCTTTCTTTTTTTTTGAGATATAGTGTCCCTCAGTCACCTAGGCTGGAAAGCAGTGGTGTGATCTTGGCTCACTGCACTCTCCACCTCCCCGGTTCAAGCAATTCTCCTGCCTCAGCGTCCCAAGTAGCTGGGATCATAGGCTTGCACCACCACACCTGGCTAATTTTTAGCAGAGCTGGGGTTTCTCCATGTTGGTTAGGCTGGTCTCAAACTCGACCTCAGGTGATCCGCCCACCTCAGCCTCCCAAAGTGCTGGGATTACAGGCATG